GAATCTATTTACACACATATATATATCTATATGAGTAGGGATTTACCCATATATATATATATATATATGGATTTACCCATACACGAAACATTACATTTACACAAAGCCTCAACCATTCTTCTATCCACTTTTAATGATTGAGATTTATCATAAATTTTTAAATGAACAAGATAAATTATCTTTAATAAATGTGAATAAATCTCAATTATTCAAAGTAGAGAGATGAATGGTTGAAATTTTGTGCATGTGTGGTATGTAAAACTTATGTGTAAATGGACTTCTCCTCTAATGATAACTCTTAATTATTGAAAGTGGAGAGATGAATGGTTGAAATTTGGTATAAGTGTAGAGATCCATTCACACACAAGTCTACACATCATACTTACATAAAATCTTAACCATTCATCTCTTCACTTTCAATATAAGTAGGAATCTATTCACATACAAGTTTTACATATTACACTTATCCAAAATCTCAATCATTCATCTCTCCACTTTGAATGATTGAAACTTATCATGAATTTTTAGATGAAAAAAATAATTATTTTTAATAAATATAAATAAATTTCACCCATTGAAAGTGAAAATATGAGCGGTTGAGATTTTATGTTAGTGTAATATGTAAAATTTATGTGCAAGTAAAACCTTACTCTGTCTCTCTCTCTATATATATTAGAAGTTAAAATGAGTTTGTCAAAAATGGGTTATGTCAGTTATACTCCTTTCAAATTCAAAATTGACCTATTAGTTTAGAAAACTCTTCTAAAGCAAAAACTAGAATGACAACCTAAGAAAGAATTATAAACTTAAAAACTATTCTCACAAGGGTCTCCCAACATTAACTAGCTATGAAAAGTAAATTAGAGAGAATTATTTATCACCTATTATCAAAGCTCATGAGATATTTTAACTAGATATGAAAAGCAAATTAGAGAGAATTATTTATCAGCTATTGTCAAAGCTCATGGGATCTTTTCACTCTAGCTTGCAAACATCAATAGCCTAAGAAAAGTCGAAAAGAAACCCTAAGGACCTAATTAACTCCAGGTGAAAATAAAATAAGGATGAAACTTAAAACCCTAATTAAGTTGAGGGACTACATTGCAATTCCTCCCTTTATATTTTTCAATTCCCAAGCAGGTAGGTTGCATCTCTCCTTGCCTTAACTAAATAGCCTTACCAAATTGTCCTTACTTAAGGTTAGGTTATAACATTTTGTTAGTTTTGTTAATTGATTGTTAGCGTTTTGTTAATTGATTGTTAGCGTTTTGTTAACATTCCATTAACGGAACTAACAAATAAAATTGAATTTAAATTTTATATTTTTTTTAACAGAATGCTAATAGATGCTAATAGTCAGCTAATAGAGTGAACAGAATGTTATAATCTGATATTAAGTGAGGGTTATATTTTTCAACTAGTATAGGTGAGGGCTAAAAGTGTCATAGTATAAGGTAAGGGACTAAAACTTATAAATTTATTAAGATAAAGGGCTAAAAGTGTCATAGTATAAGGTGATGGACTAAAACCTATAAACTTATTAAGGTAAGGGGCTAAAAGTAGGTTTTGCCTACCTACTCAATTGTCTATAGGCATTAACCAATTGTCTCTCCCTCCCATTCTTGTCACAACCATCTACATTTATGGAACAAAGCCCCACCTTTGCCCACACCCACTTATGCATTAGAAACCTTCCCATGACCTTTCATTACATCATTTTATAACCGCCCTATGCCCATTCTAAAGTAACCATAACTACCCTCTCACACTTGCTTGTTAGGTTTAGCAGAAAACAATAAAAGTAAAAATTTAAAACTTTCCTCTTTTAACTCACCTAAAACCTTTATCAATCTAATGATGGTTAAAGAAGGATAATGAAACAAACCTCAATAAAGTGTGCATTATTGGGGTGTAGCTTTAATTTTGCTACTTTTGATGAAGCCTCAAAAGCTCAAAATAGAACTACTCTAGTGTTGATCCACACGTGCATCAATTGAATTAAGAGAAGATGAAAATCCTTTAATGCTAGCTTTAATGAATTCTTGTTCATTCTTCTCATGGTAGCAATTCTTTAAAGCTTAACTCCCTTATTTAGCCTTTAACTTAAAAATTTTAAAGTTATTGACCCCATATGTAAAAATTTAATGTTATTAACCCCTCAACAACACAATTTGGGAAAAGTCACCTTTACTTCGTGAATTTGAGGTGTGCTTCTCATGTAGGTATTTGTTAGACATCATGCCAATCTTACTCAATGACAAATCAACGACATCTGTCCTACTTGGCATGCCACAGTGGCAATAACAGAGTAGGGCCCATCTTATATTAGATGAGAATTTTTTTCTTATTATTATTGTGGCATGCTAAGTAGGGAAGAGGATGCTAAAGTGTTGTTGGGTAAGATTGGCATGATATCTAACAAACACCCAACTGAGAAGCATGCCTCATATCTTTCAGCATGATGGGAATTTCCTTAAACGGGGTTGTTATAGGGCTAATAACCTTAAACTTTTAGGTGGGTAGTTAATTACCTTAAAGTCTCTAAGTTAGGAGGCTAAATAAACGTTAAACCTATTTCTAAAAATATTTAGAAAAGTTTATAATTGAATGATTAATTATTGAAACAATTTAAATTACATGAAAAATCCTAGAATTTAAGCTCAAGTACTCATTTGCTTGAGTACTTGAGCTCATACTTGAACGAGTAAGCAAGCTCAATATTGATCAAATACTTGTGAGCTTGAGTATGAGTTCAATTATGTTAAACTCATTAAATATTTAAACTTGAATATTGATGACAGGCTCAAGCACAAATACTAAAATACTTGACTTAACTCATTAATAGCTCTAACTGATTTCAATAGTTAAATTTGGGTTATTTTCTCCTAGTAAAAAAATTTGATATGGCAATTTGCATCAACAAATTTTTGGGGTAGCAATATACTTTAACTTGATAGCCAAATGTGCAAATTGCCCCCCAAAATTGTTGCATTGAAGCAAATCACCACTAAAAAAAATGTTGATACAATTTGCCTACACATATTTCCATTTTTAAGAAATCAACCTAAATTTAATAGGTTATATTAAACTTTGTTAAAATATTACTTTTGAAGTCCAATAGAAAGTTAACCATAATTGTTAAATTTGGGTCAATTTCTTGGAAATGAAAATTTGATATGGCAAATTACATCAACATTTGTTTTGGGTGGCAAGTTGCTTCAACGCAACAATTTTGGAAATGAATATGCAGCTTTCATCACTCAACATTATGGGGAGTAATCTTCACATTATGTCTTATTTCAAGCTTGATTTATTGATATTTAAATGCGTTGAATGCTTGAATGCGATTTTATTATAAGTTACATAATTTTTATTATTTAGGCAAAAAAAGGACCAGAATGCAAGTAATTAGAGATTTGGAGACTTAAGTGCATCTCGTTTAAAAGTTTAGGAACTAAATTGTAATGAAAAGTTGAAATTAAGGGGTCAAATTGAATAAATTTAACGTTTTAGGATCAAAGTGCACATAAATAAAAAGTAAAGGAACTAATGGGGTCATTTTACCATTAAATTTGGAGAATGTTAGCCGACTGATCGACGACGTTATGACGTCTATCAACAGAGGGATATCCTTGGCCTTTCATTCAAAGTGTAGAGATATTTTCGGAGGTGCAAGTCACCACCTAATATGTTATAAAAAGATTATTTCATTTTATGACGTTGGATTTAAATCTTATTTTTTTTATTTGCAGTTTTCTCTCTCTAATTCTCATGTTAAAAAAAATGTGTTGAGGTATTTATAATTTTATGAATTAGTATTTTGTTTAGAACATGAATTTGATAGAATGTGTTTAAATTTTAATTTTTTAAATTTAATATTAATATTTATTTTTAATTAAATAAAATGTAATTAAATTTAAACGAATTACATGTATTTTAACCAATATATTTAAAAGACTTAAAAACTGTGTATTTCAAATTCATCCCTAAACCCATGGATTTCAATTTCCAACCGTGCATTTTCTCCCCACTCCGACGGCGATGAAGCCCCCGTTAGTTTGATTATCGAAGGGGACGAGGGAGGAACGGCCGAGACAGAGATCTGGAAGTCATTCGAGCATTTGTCGATCGGTTTTGGCAGATTTTGCAGGGGAGAGGCGGTGATCAGCCGCAGAAGGTCGATGCTTTTGGGGAGTAGAGAGAGACCCTGAGGAGGGAGCTTTACTACTACCGTACACGCAGGGCAGCGAATCGCTTGAGGAAATTTTTGTGGGATGTTTGAGAGGGAGGACTCGCAGGCTGTGTGTCCGCAGGCGAGTACACGTGGAATTGTGTATTCACCGTCGTAGGGCTGCAGGCACACCGAACACTCAGTAGCTCCGACAACTCCATCAATCCGATGAGTCAAAAGCAATGGGAAGTACAAGTCTCCGCCAATTTCCCACGCATTTTGGCCAAAATGCATCAGAAAATACGCCAACAACGGCGATGAAGCCCCCGTTATTATAATTAGTTATAATAAATTATTTATTATTTAATTTATAATATTATAATGTTAAAAATTTATTTTTTATAATGAAATTCTTTCATAATAAATCTATCTTTATAGATATTGAATATTATATGATAATATAAAAAATGAACAAAAAATAGTAAATATGAAAACAAATTGATTAGTGGAAGTTATTGTTCTTTTGTTATCCAATTTATTTATCTTAATATAATTTAAATAATCCTTTGAAAGATTAAAATTATTAATTTTGATCTTATTAAATTTAAATAATAATTAAAAAAATTTAATTTAATAAAAAAAATTTAATTTTAAATACATAAATTTTTAATATATCCAAATAATATATTTAAAAATACATGTATTTAAAATTTATTTTTTTATTCAATCTAAACAATATATTTTAAAATACATATATTTAAATTACATATATTTTAAATATATCTATTTTAATTATACTCATCAAATTCAAATTTAAGTTTTCAAATACAATCTAAAGGAGTTTTTAGTGATACTGAATCTATAATATATATTGATTTTTTTATAAAATAAGAGATTTAAGTGAGACAAAAGTAAGAATACTGTACATAAATATATAAAGAAAAGCATGATAATAAGATAAGAAAAGCATTTTTCTATTGTGGTCTATTGGCGGCGACTACAGTTCAATAAAATTATTGATTGATTGCATTCCTGATCAATAATTAAACCTTACTAAAAGTAAGATACTAACCAATTTTTTAATTTTTAATTTCTAACAATCATCGACTATATCAAAAAATATATATATATATAAGAAAGAAGAGAAAGCGACAATAGAAAAAAAAAAAAGAAAAAAAGAAAAAAAGAAAGTATAGTCAATACGAATAATCTAGAAGTTTGATTTTTTTTCTTTTCATTTCTTCTATTTCTCCATATTCTCCGTATCATGCAAGTCTATATATAAGTTAAGAAAACAATTTGAGTTACATATTTCAATTAATAAAGTTTTTTTTTTGGGTAAAATCAATTAATAAAGTTAAATAGATTCAAAAATGAAATTAAATGAACTATTAAATGAAGCATAGTGAATCCATAAATGTAATTTAGCAGAACTCTAAATAAACCTAGTGGAAAATGAAAGATGAGAGATGAGAGATGAAAGGTGTATGGAGAAAAGATATAATGAAGCATTTAAAATATCTATAAATAAATAGTTTACAATAAAATTAGATATTCTGAAATTTTAAATATTAATTTTTTTTCTCAAAATATTCCACTCAGTCTCTTGGATACCTAATGTCCTAATCAACAAAGTATTTTCTTTGCCTTGTCTGCCTCAGAAGAAAACATCAACAGTTACCAAATAGATTTCCCAGTTTTTTATTTAAAATTTTTAATCATTGCACAGTTTCGACAACTTATTTCCTTTTATTAGGAGTATTTCCTTGACTAAAAATAATTTATTTATCATCTAGTTGGATCCACCAAGCACTCGTAATATGGTAATAAATGTTTTTTTTTTATTTAAAATTTATCTAAAAATAATAGTTATATTTCATCTTTTAAAAGAGATTAATATTTTTTTATTTTTTTACTTACTTTATCATTCTTTTAATTTTAATTACCATTATATTATAAAAAATCTCATTATTATTTATTTTTTAAAAGTAATATAAGTAAAATTATAAATTGTTTCAAAATCTTTAATTTAAACATAAAATAATAAATATTTATTATTTTAAAACAAAAAAGTATTAACTACTCAAATTTAATTAATAGATAAAAATTAATAATAATTATTATTTATAATTTAAAATATCTAATTTAGCTTATTAAAATCAACAACTTGTAATTATTTTTAAAACTCTAAAATAAATACCTCAAGAGTCATATTTGTAAGTTAGATTCAAGAAACAATAGAGACTGGCATTGAGAGAAATTCAATTTAGAGGTATATTCTTAACCTTATTTGAAGAAAGATTGAATTTTAAACTGCCGAATTTTGATTAAAGCACCCCAACTATCAAAATATATTTACTATTTTATCCTTTACGCTTTCTTTTCCGTGTGGCGTCAAGTCTCATCCAGCCCTGAACAAAAGTCATATACACGTGGAAACCCTTTCACACTTGAAAATAGACACTTGTTTCTCCCGGAGTACGGACAAAGTAACAGTCCAAAATGATTTATTCACAATTTTTTTTCTTTTTTTTTTTCTTTTTCGGGTGACGACATCTCATTAAATGATTTATTTTTTCATTTTATTAGAATTTATGTTATAAAATGTATATATTTATTTAATAATATATAAAAATTATATAAATAAGTTAGTTATATAATTACTTTAATAATTTATTTAATTTTAAAAAATTGTTAAAATCAATAAAATTATTTTATTAGCATAATAAATAACCTAATTAATTAAAATAAAAGAAAAATAAAGTCACTTCCCATTTCCTCCCCTCATCCCTGTTTCTCCCTTAAATTACTCCGTTTATCTTGTTCGTTGTTCAAAACCCACGATTCCCTTAGTTCAATCATCATATGTATGATATAAAGGGAAAAAAAAAGAAAAAAACTCACTGTGCATATCAAATTAGAAAGGTTAAAAAAAAGTTTTTTTTTTTTTGTAAACTGTTGGTCCTGTGAATATTTTTAATTTTTAATTTTGTTTTAACATTTTAGTAAAAGTAGTTTTAGGTCTATAAATATATTTATAATTTTTTACTTTTTATTTTAA